CGGATTCATGGAAGACAAATAGGGGGCGGAAATGGGATAAAACTGCTCCACCTCAGATCATCAGGCATTAGATTCTCGTAACGAGCGTGCACCCTAGATCCCTCACGTGCACAGTTCACGATAGGCCTTCTGCTCCTAGGAGAACCTGACGGCACTGCTGCTCTGACAGGGGATGGAGCTCAGGAGGTAATGCCCACCCATCCGCCACTCACCTCCTGCTCTGCGGCTGGCTCCTTAACAGGCCACAGAGTCACATCAATCTGTGGCCTGGGGTCTGCGGACCCCTGTGCTAGAGAATTTTCTGCTTTCTCTGTGTGTATAGATTATGCTAGATGTCTGCAGATGAACAGAAGAAAGTCTTTCTTTGAAAGCCCATCTTATAATCTTCTATTAAATCAAATTTCTAAGGTATTTAATAAGATTTATCTTTGTGGTTTGTTCAACGTTTTTGATGTCATCTCAGTACTTCCTAAATGACTCTTTTTAAAATCTCTCTGGATCGATTCCTATTTATCTGTGATGCTTACAGGTTCCTGGTCTTTCTGCAGGTACTTTAGAAATGTGAAGGATATATCAAAAGAGAATCGAGAATCTTCCTACCACAGCCTTTGGAGATTATGACACAGTGGTGTGGGTCACAGGGATTGAGGGATTCGCGGGACCATTCTATCACCCGCGTGACGCGGGTTCCACCAGGCTTACTGCTGGAAGGCCTGTCCGCATCCTTGCTACATCTAAATTGCAGGAGGGAAGAGTCATTTTCTAGAGGCTCGGGTTCTGCGGGTGTGGAGTTGCACCTGTGGTAGTGACAAGGTCTAGATGCTTCTCTGCCCAGGGAACGGCTCTGGCACTGATCCAGAGGCCATCTGCTTTGTGGGGAGGAAAGTGGGAGTACGGGTGAGCAGGAAAAATGAGGTCAGCTTTCAGAGCAGTCAACCATCTCTGACGAGCTGGCTAGACTGCGAACTGCACAATATTTACTGCAGGGAGATGTCCGCAACAGGAGACACTCAGTCTGGCCAGACCCAGAGCCCCCACCCCGGGGCGTCAGGACGACAGAGTCACAACACAGGGGACGCGGATTCATAGCCAGGCACCAAATCTCTTGATCCCAGAGAGATTTCCTCTGGTCCCTTTATTACTCAGGGGAAATGCGTGAATTGGTCTGTTCTCGAGTTGGAAAGAAGCAACATAACGTACCCAGGACGACCACAAGCTGGTGGCTCGTGTGAATCTTGGTTGTATCTGGTTTTGCCACATTGGGCAGGATTAGGAGCCTGTCTGCATGCCCCCAAAGCAGCGGGGCATCTCTTCACCTCTGCACTCACCTGCCTTCTGTCCCACGGTGAGGACCTTAGGACAGGAATCAGGGTTTCCAGCCCACGGTTGCAGCCCCACCCACCACCTAGCACAGTGCCTGGTACTTGGTTGGAGATGAATAAATACTTGTACAGCAAATTCTCTTTCATCTGAGTTTGGGAAGAAAGAGGAGGAAAAGAATCATTGCACAAATAAAAGAAACGCACAAATAATCCCTAACCGGCCGTTGAAGCAGCATCTTCAGTGTTTCCACCTTACACACAAACTTTCACCTCACTTTGAATATTTTATAGGAAGCACCAGTTTCATGCTCATCTGTCCTCGATCATCAGCCCTGGCGCAGTCACTGAGTCTTCTAACTGGCCCCTGATGCTTAGCGAAAAGGCCGCACAGCCAATGTGCGTGTGACACAGGGCTTCGGGGTCCTGGAAGGTGAAATGTGAGTTGTCTGTGTAACATGAGCATGTGGCTCACACAACCCAGGGATGTGTGGAAACGATGGCCTGGGTAAAAGGATGTTCATCTGAGCATTTTATTTACAGTAGCAAAGACCTAAATTCTAATTAATTGATGTTTGGTTATGTATTAGGTTGGTGCAAAAGTCATTGCGGTTTTTGCTGTTGAAAGTAGACAAAAACCGCAATGACTTTTGCACCAACCTAATAAATTAGGACATCTCCATAGTGTGGATAATATTCATATAATGAAATACGCTACTGCTAAAGATAATATTTTAGGGAGACGTGTAACGGCATGGGGAAATGTACCCAATGGATTCAGTGAAACGCAGGTCACAGAATTGAACCTGGTCACAATTTTACAAATTGGAAGTGTATGAAATGCTAGAAGGAGGTATCTCCAAATGTTACATAGTTTGTATCTGGGTGACATCAACTTCTAAAGTCTTATTTAAACTTTCTCATGTATTTTAAATTTTGTTTTACAACAAACATGTTACTTTTTATAATTTTGTAAATGGTATTATTTTAAAACTGCAACCAAAAAAAAAAAGCAAATCATCCCATGATGCAAAGAAGCCCTTCTCTGTTCCTGCCCTAGATGGTTACTTCCAAGATTAGACCGTGAAGCACCCCGCAGGACGCCACTGGTTCCTCATTATATTTACATACAAATCCCAGAAAATTCTATCCAAAAGTCTAGGGGCAGTGAGGCCCCTGCAGGTAAAACGAGTTCTTTTCTTTGTGACACAGGTCTGAAAAGGAACCATATCTGGAAAAGATGTTGACAGCTTACTTTGGGGTAGCCTAGGAAAGTTGGAAGAAGCCGTGGTAGGCAAAGCCATTCCCTGGGCACGGGGAGAGCTGGTGCTGGTTCTGCCGTTGGCTGTACGGCCATTTCGCTAAGCAGCATATTCCTTATCTGTAAAAGGAAGATCTAACACCTGCCCCACCTACCTCATAGGCCTACTGTGGGGTTCAATGAAATCATGTATATGTTAGATTTTGTAAATTAGAAAGCACCCAGTTAAGTGAAAAGTTCGACAATCCAAGAATGCTAATGTCTTAGGATAATGATCAATGTTTCCCACTTTCTTTCAAGATAGCAAGAGACACGAACACTCTCAAACACTCTAGAAAAAGTCACCAGGAATTTTATCAACCACATTTAACTCACTTCATGTTTCCCTATACCTTGTCCAGCATAACAAAACTATGCTATGTGTTCACTCAACTTGTTCCTTTTTCTCCTGGTCTCATGGGTAGACTGGCTTCCCCAGCTTCCCCAGTGGGAAGATGGGGTCAAGAGACTAAATTGTCTGTCTGTCTGTTTCTCTCTCTCTCTCTCACGCTTCTTTTTTCCTGATTCAGAGTCTTGCTCTGTCACCCAGGCTGGAGTGCAGTGGTGCAATCTCAGCTCACTGCAGCCTCTGCCTCCCGGGCTCAAGCAGTTCTCCCATCTCAGCCTCCCAAGTAGCTGAGACTACAGGCGTATGCCACCATACTTGGCTAATTTTTGTATTTTTAATAGAGACCGGTTTTCTCTATGATGCCCAGGCTGGTCTTCAACTCCTGGGCTCAAGCAATCCACCCACCTCAGCCTCCCAAAGTGCTGGGATTACAAGTGTGAGCCACCACGCCCGGCAGAGACTGAATTCTTTTTTTTTTTTTTTTTGAGACAGAGTCGTGCTCTGTCGCCCAGGCTGGAGTGCAGTGGCGCGATCTCAGCTCACTGCAAGCTCCACCTCCTGGGTTCACACCATTCCTCTGCCTCAGCCTCCTGAGTAGCTGGGACTATAGGCGCCGCCACCTCGCCCGGCTAATTTTTTGTATTTTTAGTAGAGATGGGATTTCATTGTGTTAGCCAGGATGGTCTCGATCTCCTGACCTCATGATCCACCCAGAATAAAGATGTAAGCAATGTACATCCCTTTCAGGCAAAGCCGGGCCCCAAATCCTCCTGTGAGATCCTCCACACACGCTCTCTCCCCTCATTTCCCGGCTGGTTACAGAAGGTCTGGTGAAGGACTCTTGAGGCCCCTGGAAGATGGTGACACATTTGGTGGAAGAAATCTGAGTGCTCACGTCGTAGTGGAAGGCCACCCACCAAACACCCCCTATGACCTAAGTGAGAAACAACCTGAGGTCTCTAGGATCATTTGCTCTATATACCAACTATCTTCTCTGACTAATACATCCTTGCCCGTGGCCGCCTCTCCATTCCAGTGACGGTCAGTGCTCTCTGCTGCTTCCCACACCACTGATGCAGGGGATAGAGAGGCCACTTACAATAAAAATCCAGTCCTCATCCAACAGAAAACTCACCCAGGCAAAATCAGATCATCTTTAAAGATTCCCTGGGAGATTTAAGACCTGTTTTTTATTTCTATGGGGAAACTTGGGGGCATGTGCTAATTTAAATAACTGAAAAGGAAAATGCACTTTTGGCAGCCCAGTACCAATAGTTCTTAAGGTGAGTTGCAAATAGAAAAGAGTTTGGGTCTGTCAAGTGAGGAGAGGTTACGAAGGGCGTCTACACCTCTTTTGGAAGGTACAGACAAAGGAAGCAGAGTGCCAACACGGATCACTGTTCCTTCGTATATTTTATTCTTAGCAATGTCCAACACTTCCACAGGTTGCTTTAAAACCATGATTCCTGGGACTCACAATATCCTTCGTTCAAAAGCCTCTCACTCATCTGTCTTAACATCTAAAATCTCTGTTAACAGGCACAACAATGATCCCCTACTACATGGCAGATATTGGCCTACATGTCATGCAAACACTGTCTTATTTAATTTTCATGACTCACATCCATTTATAAATGAGGGACTTGAGCTTAAGACAGGGCAAACTCCTTGTGACAAGTCACACTGCTAACAAGTGGACAAGTCGGGGCTTGGACCCCAGTCCAAGGATCTCTGTGGCCTACCTCTTCATGGCTAAGCCATGTGGTAAACCTGCTGGCTGGGGAGCTGCTGGCAGTGTCTGGACCAGCAGGGCCTCTCAGGAAGGAGACACTGAAGAGTGGAGAAAGGGGAGGTGTGGAAGGTTTGGAGGATACAGCAGCACCCTCTCAAAGCAGGCGGGTCTGGGTGGGGCACCTTGATGAGAACTCTGTGGGGGCCACTGGAAACACTAGGCTTTGAGTTCCCAGGAGGAGGCAGAGGAAGGAAGCGCTGCCCACTTCTCTGCTTTGACTCGCTCACCCAGGCTACTTACCTGGTATGGGTACAGGGTGACCCCGTTGGTTCTCGACAGGGACCAGGTGCCGTCCAGGTACTGGTGAGCCTGGATGGCCACCGAATTGAGGATGTTCCCATTGCTTGGACTGGTGGCCATCTGGAGGCTGACCTTGGCCTGGTGGGTTGGGGAGCCACTCTTCTTTTCCGCCCCATTGCTGACCCCAAGGCTGCTGGGTTTGCTGCTGTGCTTGTTGACGAAGCCTGTGTAGTTGGAGGTGGCATAGGGGGCAGGCACAAAGGCCCAGTCCCTGGGCTGCTGGAGCCCACCCACGTGCCGGGACCCCACCAGGGTGGGGATGTTGGAGAGCGGTGGCGGGGAGCCGGGCGAGGCGTCGTAGTGCTCACTGCCAGCTGCCTGCTCCAAGGCCAGCACCATCTGGATGGCCTCCTGCTTCAGCTGGTTCAGGTGAGTGGCGCAAATGTCACAGCGGTTGTCCCGGTCATTCCATGCCTTCCGGATGGTGTTGGGGACCTGGAGTTTGTCGTGAATCACAGCCGAGAAAGCAGGGTCCTAGAGAACACAGAAGCAGAGGAAAGGGAGATTCTATAACTCCAAGGCTACTCAAGAGTTTGATAGTTTGATTGGCATTCAACAGAAATGAGAAGCTACATTGGCAGAAAAGCCTCCATTTTTGATAAACACATTTGACAAATGTAAGAATTTTATAGTGAAAACTTTTAAAAAGAAGTTAAAAAAAAAAAAGACTTCTAAGTATCTTCTTCGCCAGGCCAATCAAACAAGTACATTTGTTTGTTTGTTTGTTTGTTTGTTTGTTTTGAGATAGAGTCTCGCCCTGTCTCCCAGGCTGGAGTGCAATGGCACGATCTCAACTCACTGCAACCTTTGCCTCTGGGTTCAATCAGCCTCCCAAGTAGCTGGGACTACAGGCACTCACCACCACGCCCAGCTAATTTTTTGTACTTTTAGTAGCCACGACGCTTAGCAAGAACATTCTTATTCTTATGTCCACTAAAGAATGATAGCCATCCCTGGGCTCTCCCAAGGTGTTCAATTAGAAGGAACAAACGTTTGTCCAGGCATGACGCGGGGTGAGTGCAATCTGGACCGCTGCACTGAGGCCCCTTGGCCTCCTGTTACCACAGAAAGTTAGTAGCAGATGGAGGTGCAACTTGCAACCTCGAACAGAGATTGTGTTCTAAGAAAATCTTGGCCTTATCAGCATTGTGTGCTAAGTACCACTGGAACAGAAGCAAACCAAACAGATTCTGGCCCAGAGATCCAGCCTGTACCAGCAGCCGAGCAAACCTGTGTAGATTAACTCATGTTTACTATTTGCCCTAGGGAAGCTGGCCGTGTCTCTATCCAGGTATCTGATATTCTAATCCACCAAAGCAAAACAGTCCAAGATAGGCTTTCCCTTCAAACTTCATCTAAAACTACTATTACAAAATATCAGCTGGGCACAGTGGCTCAGGCCTGTAATCCAAGCACTTTGGGAGGCTGAGGTGGGAGGACTGCTTGACGCCAGGAGTTCAAAGACCTGCCTGGGCAACATAGTAAGACCCCATCTTTATAAAACATTTAAAAATTAGCCAGGCACTGTGGCACACACCTGTAGCCTCAGCCACTCAGGAGCCTGACGTGGGAGAATTGCCTGAGCCCAGGAGTCTGAGGCTGCGGTGAGCTAGGACAGCGTCACTGCACTCCAGCCTGAGCAACCGAGCGAGACATGTCTCTAAAACAAATAATCTTGCCAGGTGCGGTGGCTGGCACCCATAATCCCAGCTACTTGGGAGGCTGAAGCTGAAGGATCCCTTGGGGCCAGAAGTTTGAGACCGGCCTGAGCAACATAGACAGAAAACCTTATAAAATACTATATATTATTATTATATATGTAATATATGTTTATAAAATGTTTATATATAAAATAAAAATCTAGCTCAGAGACCCCTATGAAAAAGAAATCAGAAAATGGATTTAATGAGAACAATGTCGCTTATTTACTTGGCTTAAGGATTACACAGAGAAACGAGCACGAGGAGTGTTCGTTGAGTATCAGATGGTTTCCAGTTCTGCCACTTGTGACATTGGAGGTTTTTTTTGTTTTGTTTTTTTTTGAGAGGGAGTCTCGCTCTGTCACCCAGGCTGGAGTGCAGTGGCCGGATCTCAGTTCACTGCAAGCTCCGCCTCCCGGGTTCACGCCATTCTCCGGCCTCAGCCTCCCGAGTAGCTGGGACTACAGGCGCCGCCACCACGCCCGGCTAGTTTTTTGTATTTTTTTTAGTAGAGACGGGGTTTCACCGTCTTAGCCAGGATGGTCTTGATCTCCTGACCTCGTGATCCACCTGCCTCGGCCTCCCAAAGTGCTGGGATTACAGGCATGAGCCAGCGTGCCCGGCCCAACGTTGCAGTTCTGTAGTGACCTCAGACAACTCACTTAGCCTCACTGAACCTCTCGTCTGTCACACAGGGCCATGGCCTTTCCTGATGGGAAGGACCTTCCAGCTCCATGACTCCATTCATGGGGAATGGGGAGAGGAGAGTATGGTCTGTGCATACATGAACAGGGCTACGATGCCATTTTGGGGGCTCAACGGTCGTTGCAGGTAATGGATAAAGCTCATCTAAGGGCTTATTTCCCTCTAGGACATTAGGGAGAAAATGCGCCCTTCTGAAATTCACTGTCGGCTTGTATGGGTTAGAAGCCCCATCAGAGCTGAAGGCGGTTTGATGAGCTGTAGGCGGGGAGGGAGCTGTGAGGCAGTGAGCGGGGCAGGAAGAGCAGCAGTTGGGGGGTGGTTCTTAATTATGATCCATCTTGATTACAGGCTCCAGCTTTTTGTTTTTCCTGTTTAACTACCCTGAACAGCTCCTCAGTGTGCACTGATTAATTGATTAATAAATCAAGAGGCCTCTTTACACTGCAGCAGCAAGGGGTGGCTCAGGAGGGAGACACAAGACAGCCAGACACAATGATGGGAAGCGGTGGGCGGTTCAGGTCCAGCGAGCCTCGAATCTCATTGAGGAAGTGATGCCTCGAGGTGTTTTCCTCAGTGACGGGGCCAGCGAGTCTCCAATCACAACTCAGAAGTGTAGCAGGACCTGAAAGGGCCCCTCAGGGACCGTTCCAGAACAGAGCGACACCTCAGTTTATAGATACACAGGTCCCAGAGGGTTAAAAGCGTGGACTATGCCTAGACTTCTTGACCACCAGTTCATGATTTTTCACTTTAAGCCAAAGAGCCATATCCATCAACAGATTCCTATTCTCCCACAGACACAGAAGGGTTCCAACCCCATGTTTTCACCAGGAAATGTTCATTCATTCAAATGGGATTTGTGCCCCAATATATGCAAAGAGACAGTTTCTTGTTTTTCTCATATAACCAATGGCTTATGCTTTCAAGGCACCAAACTGTTTGGTTTCAAAAAGCCTCAGATCAGTTGCTTATTTAGAATATTTTTGTTAACCCAATCATACGGAGGAAGTGCCACAGAAAGGAGGCAGCTCTAAGAGAAGTCATGTCAGCCGGGCGCGGTGGCTCACGCCTGTAATCCCAGCACTTTGGGAGGCCAAGGCGGGCGGATCACAAGGTCAGGAGAGATCGAGACCATCCTGGCCAACATGGTGAAACCCCATTTCTACTAAAATAGGAAAAAATTAGCCAGGTGTGGTGGCGCGCACCTGTAGTCCCAGCTACTCGGGAGGCTGAGGCAGGAGATCTGCTTAAACCCAGGAGGCGGAGGTTGCAGTGAACCAAGATCATGCCACTGCACTCCAGCTGGGCAACAGAGCAAGATTTCATCTCCAAAAAAAAAAAAAAAAAAAAGAGAGAGAGAGAGAGAAAGAAGTCATGTCTGCACATCACAGTTTATTTTCGATGCTAGCCCTTGGAGTCTGGATTTGGCTCTGACCTACGGGCACATCCACTCTCCAGAAATCGCACGAGCCACCCCTGGCTCTGAGGGCCCCTCTTCTCTTTCCTCCCTTGATTTCACTCCTCTCCCTTGAAGCACCACCTTCTTTATTCAGCATATTGCCATTTGTGGCTCAGCTGCTGACATTTAATAAGTAGGTATTTTGGTTTCCAGCATGCCCGGCGTTGCCCCAGGCTGGGGCTCTGAGGGTGCACGAGGATAATACCCGTTCTCTGGGAGTTCACAGTCCAGGGGGCCTTCTTGGTTCCTGCACTACCCAATGCCACATGCCTCTGCTGCCACCTCCAGCCCAGTCTGTAGTGACTCACAGGACCAATCCATACATACATGGAGCTCAGTGCTCCCCCGGGGTTCACAAGACATCAGCACCAACTCCCACCCCTCACACCTGTCCTCCACTTACACCTGTGCCAGCCAAAGCAAGCCCAGCAAGCGCCAACACAGCCATTCAGCACAGCTGGGCCCACCAGCCATATGACCACCACAGACAGCCAGGAAGTAGCCAACAACCCATTCCTCTCTCATCCAGGGAAAAGCTGAGATTGAGAGTCTTTAAAGAAAACGTGGTTGCTGGCTGATGTCAGAGGTGTTTTTTCAATGAAGCCACCCTTGATCTAAAACCCTTTGTGAGTTCTTATCATCAAAAGGCCTCAGTAAATCAAGTGCTTCTCCACACATTATACATAAACATTTTAGTACAACTCAGAACTTTAAAAAGGAACAGTCAACAGCCATAGCTTACAGAAAGTAAGTGCTGAAATAAAGAAGATACTGTTCCCCAGGCTGGAGTGCAGTGGCATGATCTCGGCTCACTGCAACCTCCGCCTCCCCAGTTCAAGCAATTCTCCTGCCTCAGCCTCCTGAGTAGCTGGGATTACAGGCACGCACCACCACACCCAGCTTATTTTTGTATTTTTAATAGAGATGGGGTTTCACCATGTTGGCCAGGATGGTCTTGATCTCTTGTCCTCGTGATGCACTCGCCTTGGCCTCCCAACATGCTGGGATTACAGGCGTGAGCCACTGCACCCGGCCCTTCCTCAGGAAGATTTTGTTCGTCGATGCTCATCAGCTCCCTGACCTTTGCACCTCATGTTCCGCCTGTGCTTCATGGGCCGTGAAGGACGAAGGAGACACAGAGGGTCATTCTCACCCAGAGTATTTCTCACCACGGAGACTCTCTTCGCCCCATTATCACGCTGAATCTACACAGCAGGTGTTTACCGGCGGCCGGCGGAATGTCAGTGTCCTTGATCCCTGTTGTTCCTGGAGCTCCCTACACACAGGCATGCGACCACCGCAGAGGGAAGCCAGGAACCAATCAGAACGTCTGACAAAGGAATCACGTCCCGTGGCCCCGGGTGGGGAAGTCACCACCCTCAAGGTTCTACTGACACAACATGTACATGGACGAAAGTCCTCAAGTGGCTCACTCTGATTGGCAAAGAGGACACAAGCACAGCGCATTCTCGAAAGACGGGGAAAGAAGAGGGAGGGATATTCGAAAGAACACAGGGTGTGTCAGAATGAGGGTTTGCTCCAGGTGAGGCCTGAGACAGCCAAAATAACAACTGCAGTAGTGACAGCAATGAGGCCATGCCCTG